CATAGTGCTTGGCGGTCCACAGAGTCAAAGGCAGCTTTCAGATCAAGAAAAACAACCATTGTTGGTTGCTGGAAGCAGTGTCGCTGTTCCAGAATCTGTCGGAGGGTGAATATATGATCGACGCAACCTCCAGCAGGACGGAACCCAGATTGGTTTTTACGGACCTGCCTCTCTCTGTGTTCAGTCAACCTTCGAAGGATTAGGCCAGAGAGCACCTTCGATGCCACAGCTAACAGGTTGATTGGTGGGTGGTTTTCACATAGCGTCCACCGCATTTAACGATGGTCTGACACATAAACGGAGTTGTACACGAGCACCCACGAATCACTCCGTTGGGATGCCATGGTGGTTTTCACATAGCGTCCGCTGCATTTAACGATGGTCTGACACATAAACGGAGTTGTACACGAGCACCCACGAATCAGGGGCTCCGTTGGGGCGCGAACATTATTCCATTTGTTCAACCCCACGTCAGTTAGCCCAAGAGAATGAGAGTATTGGTTGAGTTTATTGACAGTAGACAGCACTCACAAAGTTGCTACAGCCTCCGGTATTTCCACTCAGTAGTTTATCCTAGCATAGTGTCTCCGAGTAAACTATCGTCGTTCACCACGTGATTAGTCCCACGCAAACCGTCCAGTAGACACAAAAACAAGTCCCTTCTTGTATAGCTTTGTAATGTACTACTCATAAGGTTGCTGAAAATCCGTCGACAGCCCACGACTGGTTTCGTCCTCTTTGGGGCTCATCAGGTAGGCGCAGACCCCTGGTTTCCGTCAACCTTATGTTCTACTTGAACCCAAATTGCACGAGATCAGCGAATATATACTTATTTGCCAATCAATTTGGTTGTTTGAGAGACTCACCTGGAACCCAGCTGAATCCCTCGTTTGTGATGTTCTCAGTCCCTTCTTGACCCGACACGATTATTCTAGATTGTCACTTTTTAAGCGTGGATTCGAAAAACCGTACGAGAATGAAATTCATCCAATGAGAAACGACCGAAAAGAGCTTAAGGTTAGTTGGTTTACTGTCTCTTGGCTATCCAGTCATCCCCTCATGAGCGGCAGTGTGGTATATACCAACTCCCGGAGTGAACGATTTCATCCGCATACCAATGAACCTCTAACTGCAACAAAAACGTGTACATTATCAAGCAATTCGGTAGTATCTCAGCCCCTTGTCAAATATAACAATCATGTTGTGCTCGCGCTTTGACGAGACAATGCAGCTAACGGGCAGTATGATATAAGAAATCGTAGGTGCACAGGCGGTGGGACACCAGTCGGCGAAGCGGGGGGAAGTTTGTTCACGCTCGAATCCCATCACAAACTTGAGTTCACTTTTTGGTTCCTTTCAACTTCTTCCAGGTCGATAGAAAACATTCACCTGCCCCCAATCGATCAAACAGAAACCACAACCGATTTGAATTCATCGATTAAAAGCTTGAGTGAAAACCTGAACAACGCCATCGACATACGCCCCATCGGAAGAGGTTTAGTACCGTATGTAAAGCATTATTTAAGTGAAGCCCGTCAAACGCACCCCACACACTATCGACCCAAATGGAAGGAACCAACCAATCAGGACGAAGGTGAAGGCAATGCAGACCCAACTACACCACCTCTAAGTTTGGCTGAACCGAATGAAGACAATCAGGGATCCCGTTCGGCGGATGACGAAAAGGAGGCATGGTTTTGAGGACTGACTGATCACACGGAAGAGTAGGACCTTTGGTTGATCGACACCCTACAGAACCATGGAAGCCAGTTAAAAGAATCATTTCGAGATACATGTTGTATTTTTGACTAGAAAAAAACCAGACGAACCAAGCGTTTGGCTTTCGTGTTCAAAATTGCTCAACAGGCGTGAAAAATCATAAACCAAAAGCGCGAATTTTAGTAGAACAAACACCGAGTTTTGTGCATGGGAATGACAGCGTCGATTTCCGCGGCATGCTCTCGACGAAACGTCCACAGGTAGTTATCCGCTAAAATGGCGTTGCACGGGGTCTTTAGGTGACCTGCCTCAGCCAGAAGGTCTTTCACTTTCTGGACAATCAGCTGGAGTACGGGGGAGGAGGAAGGTGGATATTTGTGGTATGGAATACGACGAGGAGTAGGAATAGTACGGGTCTTGTATCAGAGGCCAATTTTCCTGTAATCCGAACTTCTAGCATGGTTCCTATGTCTGACAAGGGCTACACAACTGCACAAAAAGGTCTGAATAGTGAAGCAACAGTTAGGAACGGCTGCGTGGAATCAACCACTTTTCTGGGTGCTGTCTGACCGATGTGCTGGGATCCATAGAAGAGTGGATATCAAAAGAGAGGATAAAGAGAAGTTAAAAATTAAAAAAATAGATCGTTCGGCTGTAACACCCTTGCGGTGCCTAGGTGCCACGCCAACCGAAGGAAGCACGAGGGCCGGATACTGCCAGATCGCCCAAGCCTAGACAGGGGAAGTCGATATGCAAAGGTCGGATTCGAACCACGGACCTTTCGACCAGTAAATTCGAGGCGACAGTTGAAAAAATGAGATGTTACAGCTTTCGATTATCCGCCATACCATATCCAGCGAACGTGCGGCAGCGATGCATTAGTGTTGAACACTCGTGTGATACTGCAACCCGACTGATATCACCGTAAAACGGTGAATTCGGTACGTTTGTTTGCATCTATAAGTACGCTAAAGTAACGCCAGATCGCATAGACCTGAACAAGAGGACAATTTTAATGCTGATCTGAGACCCTTGGCTCAACAGCTCAGCCACACAAAAAACGCGGGTAGTCCAAACTGTAGGGGACAAGTTGACACCTTCGTTACACCTCAAAATCTGGTATGTCAACAGACTGTTTGTCAGACCCCTATGAATCAACCAGATCGGTAGAATACTGTATGGATATAATTCGACGAGTTGAATTCAAGTGAACGTTGCACTTATCCAACCACCTAAAACGAGGCGATGATAATCGGGGATTCAAAGTAATCCCCGATTGCATTACGTTTGTATCTCGCCTTGGTCCGAGTACACTTGCATTTGTGCAATTGCATCAACAGAAAAGAGGGGGATATGTCACGAAGAACGGCCAACCATTCGCCGGGGTGCGTATTGATCCTGATGCAGCAGAAATGCTTAGGACGTCCGCCTTCCTTGACACCCAACATACCAGAGTTCTGTGTTACACTTAGACGCGTTTCTCCCAATGTGGTGAGCATGCTAGCTACCTACGAGTTCATCCTGACTACTCGTCTCCTCGCGCTTCCCTGGTTGAGCAGACCAAGAGAGCTCAGTTTTTCACGTTTTTAAGTGGGCTGCCTGCTCGGTAGCTGATTCCCATAAGACTATTGTCAAGTTAAACGTGAAGTTCACAAGCGGAAGTACAAAATTCAGTGAACACCAGGGCGAAACCTGGTAGCCAGAACCTTTTGAGGATAGGTGCTTCTTCGGAGAGAAGGAGTGCTGCACAATAAATAGTGGCTAACAAGAAAAGTCCTAAACTCCCCAGGAAGGTAGTTTCCCTTAAGTAAGTTCTCTATGCAAAGTCTACTGAAGCAGTGGACGAACACTAAAGAGGAGGAATTACCCAGTGAGTAGGTGTTGTAATTCTTCACCTTCCCTGAAGCTACTGAAGTATAGTCAGAAGACAAGAAGGCGACCAGAAAAAACTGTGTTAACGCAATTACAACTTTCTATTTATATGACTCACTTGTGACCGCATTCCATGGTCGATCTGCTCTCAACCAACCAGTCTGTCTCTTGCACGCCCACATTGGTTCTCGGGCGGTTGTTCCTTTCCCTTGGTTAATCACAGATGGCCGTCTGTGAGCTCGTGTACGGGGTGCCTTGGCCATGGAGTGGGTGTGGACTTTCTGCGTCCCATTTTGACCTTTCCCGGCACATAATGAAATCGGACGTGATTCAGACGTGTGGGCATAATCGCACGGCCCTGTTTCACATGATTGTTCCGCTGCGCAGTAGACCGATGCGCAGTCGTATTACCTCCCCTTTCAATTTGAAACCGTTTTCGCACTGCTTGAATCTGATCGTAGCTTTTCTTCTTCTTCGGGTTAACTTGGAGCCAGTTTGGTCGTTTCCGTTTTCGATTGGGTCTTAGCTGTAAACTATGCGGTACTGTCATGTTCTGGGATAGTTCGAGACGTCGAACATGTTCGTCGTCCAAACAAGATGTCCCACTGGAAACTTTCTGCTTCTTGCCGGTATTGAGTTTGCATGTGGTTTGGTCGTAGCTGGTTGATACGTCTTGTCCAACGTCGACTTCGTAGACCACGTTCCCTTTTTTACCCAGGACAGTACCACTGGACCACTTTTCGGGACCTTGAAAGTTTCTTGCGTAAACCACGTCAGCAATGCGGAATTTTCGCGGTCCGTCTGTTTGTCTTATTTGCCGCATTTCTGGTGTCCTTCCTCTTGGGCCTAACATTGTCCTAAGTAGTCCTGATTTTCCGTCCAAACGTGCATTCTGCGGGCGATTTTCCACTGGGAACGTTTGTGTTTAGGGAATTTCGGTACATTGTCAAAAATGGTTAGATCGTGTTGCCCGATGTCTTCCTTCCTCCCACTTTAAGTAGAGCCCGTTTGAAGGTATCCACGAATCGTTCAGCCTGCCCGTTGGATTGAGGATGATAAGGCGGTGAGAACTTCTGCTCGATACCATTTTCTTTGCAAAACTGTCTGAAGTGTGTTGAGGTGAATTGTGTTCCATTGTCGGTCACAATCAGCTCCGGATTACCGAAATATTGGAACACCCTAGCCAGTTCATCGACAGTTGACTGTGCCGTAGTATTGCCCAAAAGGAACACATCTGGCCATTTAATGAATGAATCCACCAGAATGAGATACGACTGACCATTGATTGGACCTGCATAATCCAAGTGAATTCTTTCCCAATGTTTCTTGCTTTTCGGCCATGGTTGGTCTGGCCATTTGGGAGGTGTCTTTGCTGCCATTTGACAAGGTTCACATTTGTGACAAAACTGTTCTATTTCGGTGTCCATTTGAGCCTATAAACAAAACTTCTCACGAGGCCTTTCATACGGGCTGTACCTGGATGTCCTGAGTGAAACTGTTGCATCGCTTGTTTTCGTAGCTTTGTTGGTACTACAATCCGGTCAACAATTGAAAGCAATTCACGTCGATTAAGAAAATGGTCGTAGCCCTGAAGAGATTTCACCATTCGGCCACTTCGTCTGTACGTAATTCATAACTTCCAATAAGATTTCCTCATTGCCGGCCTCAGCAGTAACTGGTAATCTTCTGACGTTTTCAATGAGGATCTGATGAACCTCGGACTCGAAATTAGTCGCTGCGATCACACAATCATCATTTTCTCTTGGATATGATTTGATTAGGCGAGACAAGGCATTTGCTTGGCCGATTTCTTACGTTGATCGGCACTGAATAGTAAAATCATAGGCTAACAGTATGGTAGCTCATCTTTGCAGACGATTTACTGTGACAACAGGAATCTCTTTCATTGCCCCGAATATTGATAGCAGTGGTTTGTGGTCGGTAAGCAGCGTGAAGTGTCTTCCGTAGAGCATTTTGGGGAAACGATTCACAGAAAAAACGATAGCTAGAGCCTCTAATAATCTGGCTGTAGTTTTTCACAGCTGCTGTCCGCGCTGCGTGGGCGATAGCCTTCTGTTGTCCTCCGAGTAAAACATGTGAAGCCACTGCTCCAATACCGTAATTCGAGGCCTCCGATGCCACAATAATTGCCCGTTCTGGACACAGAAATAGAACAGTTTTGTCACAAATGTGAACCTTGTCAAATGGCAGCAAAGACACCTCCCAAATGGCCAGACCAACCATGGCCGAAAAGCAAGAAACATTGGGAAAGAATTCACTTGGATTATGCAGGTCCAATCAATGGTCAGTCGTATCTCATTCTGGTGGATTCATTCATTAAATGGCCAGATGTGTTCCTTTTGGGCAATACTACGGCACAGTCAACTGTCGATGAACTGGCTAGGGTGTTCCAATATTTCGGTAATCCGGAGCTGATTGTGACCGACAATGGAACACAATTCACCTCAACACACTTCAGACAGTTTTGCAAAGAAAATGGTATCGAGCAGAAGTTCTCACCGCCTTATCATCCTCAATCCAACGGGCAGGCTGAACGATTCGTGGATACCTTCAAACGGGCTCTACTTAAAGTGGGAGGAAGGAAGACATCGGGCAACACGATCTAACCATTTTTGACAATGTACCGAAATTCCCTAAACACAAACGTTCCCAGTGGAAAATCGCCCGCAGAATGCACGTTTGGACGGAAAATCAGGACTACTTAGGACAATGTTAGGCCCAAGAGGAAGGACACCAGAAATGCGGCAAATAAGACAAACAGACGGACCGCGAAAATTCCGCATTGCTGACGTGGTTTACGCAAGAAACTTTCAAGGTCCCGAAAAGTGGTCCAGTGGTACTGTCCTGGGTAAAAAAGGGAACGTGGTCTACGAAGTCGACGTTGGACAAGACGTATCAACCAGCTACGACCAAACCACATGCAAACTCAATACCGGCAAGAAGCAGAAAGTTTCCAGTGGGACATCTTGTTTGGACGACGAACATGTTCGACGTCTCGAACTATCCCAGAACATGACAGTACCGCATAGTTTACAGCTAAGACCCAATCGAAAACGGAAACGACCAAACTGGCTCCAAGTGCCGATTAGGCAAAGGATCTGACAATACCCCATCGGTATTACTTTGATTCCACTGTTGGTAGCCGTACACCCAACCGATGGAAATTTAAGAACAACGTCGGGGGAATGACTAAAGATGCTTGCGTAGAGGTTTGAAAACATGAGATCAGAGCTCCGAATTCTTGCAGTGTGAGGCAACAGCAGTTCGACAAGCCACCTACGTCGCTACATTCGATCCGATCAATAACTACCTGCAATGGGACTAACTTTTATCAGCAAAACCATTCGCCAAAATGTCGCCTAAAATGCCTCAGAATCCGTGAAATCGACAAAGTTCCATTCAGTAATAAGGTCAAACAAAAGGCAGAACTTTCGCGACAAGTGATGCGATTTTCGTAGCCCTGATATCGCGCGAAGCGAACTCAAATAGACTGAGGGATGGGAATTGTAAATGAGACTCCACCTGAACACCTGGCGTACTCGGAGGCAGACAGATCAAGACGCAGGGTACGTATATGAGTACCTAAAGTACCAACAGAGATATATCTTGTTCCCTCCGGATAAATTGCGCCACACATTAGCAGTAGGAAAAACCTGATGAAAATGTGTCCACAAACAATACAATTATATAGGTCAGAACATACAAATATAATGATAATAGCTAATAATAACGTTCGGCTGGAAAAGCTTTTCAGTGTCCCCAAAGAAGATACCGGCAGGGTACCCAAACCTAGAAGGGAGCAGTCGCGGGGCTCGGATCAGGTTCCGACCAAAAGTACACTCCGAAATGTGGGACACTGTTGGTCAACGAGTGATTAGACATCTGAGCTAAGGTCACTTGTAAATACAACAGCAAAAAGGGGTGTGTATGTGCGTTAAAAATGTGTGCAAAAACTTCCAGAGGTGGTCAGATTGAGAACTGAAGCGCGTGGACAACTATACGACGTAGGAGCAAGTCGCCGGAAACATGTGCCTGTCCACTTGGATGTCTCGTGACTAAGTGGGAGATTTCGGTTACGCACTCCTGAGAGGCCTAACAGGGCCACGTGAAATGCACCATGTTTATGTTTCCAAACAAGGCAAGAGCGGTTAGATAAGACCTCATGATTTCCCGCATGTGACGAGGGATAACAAATGAATGCTTGGTTCAATGAAAATCGATCAGTTACGAACAGTTAACCGTGTAACGATGTTGCTGTGGGTTGCGATATTTTGAAGTTTCGAGCGACATTTCACTTTGCAAGTGAGATCAATGTACTGAAAAGACCAGAAGCGTCATTTGGCTGTTTCATTCTTGAGATAGATGATGCAAGAGAGCACGAAACGAATTTACTGATCGGAAAGTCTGTGGTTCCAACCCGACCTTCGCCTCTCGACTTTCCCTGTCTAGGCTTGGGTAACCTGGCAGTATCCCAGCCCTCGTGCTTCCTTCGGGCGCATGGCAGCTAGGCACCGGAAGGGGTGTTAGAGCTGAACGATTTTTTTCATTCTGGATAGGACTTATCAGTAGTGTACACGTCACAAAGCTCTGGGGACATTCGAACTGGCGCCATCTGGTTAGTAGTTGAACGCCATACCATATGGCCACGAAGCATTGAGTAGCAGTGAGACCAATACACTGTATAGGATCCAATGTAGGCTGGCTTCTCGAGTGAAGAACCATGGAGGAACCATAAGAGTTGCGCAATTTATCCTTTATTAAGCTCCAAGTTGGTTAGTAGGGTTTGAAGAAACATAAAACGCGTGTAAAAAACAATTCAGCTGTAACACCTTCTTGGTGTCTAACTGCCATACAACCCGAAGGAAGCACGAGGGCTGCGATACTACCACGCTGTCCAAGCCTAGACAGGGGAAATCGAGATGCAAAGGTCGGGTTCGAACCACAGACCTTCCGGTGAGTAAATTCGTGCTCTAACCACCAAGCGTGTACTAAAACGATATTTCTATTACGAAGTGTTGTTGGAGATAATAGGCTGACTTTTTTGTTGTGATCTTAAACGGAAAAGCAGAACTGACGGTATCGCTTTCTGCTCAAGTTAGAAGATGAACAAGAAGTCCGATGGACGACTACCGAAAGGTAAGCCTACCTGAACAGCGTGAATTGTTGCACCGCGGATTTCTACCTCCAACTGACTTCCATTAGGGATCAGTTCACCTGAACATGAAGACAACAGGCTATCAGTGAACATTCAAGTCAATAAAAATACGTGAAGTTAGGACTTACTGCAAAAATAGAATGGACTACTAAGCATAATTCACCAGTGATTGCTTGTGGGCAGGTGTTGGGTTCCCTAAAGCTCCCAATTGTATGTATGGTCCCTTTCATGTTCCGACACCTAAGTGAGCAACCATTGAACTTGAGTTTTCTTGCCCTTACCACAGCTTATCAGCAGTGAATATCTTTAGCCATGTGGAGATTTCTGGTTACCGCCAGTCCACTAAGGCAGGCTGGATGCGCCAAGATTATTTCATCTTAGACGTCTTGTGCACTTTTCGCCCGACACGCCGAGCTAAAATACAAGCCTCGCGTCCGCTGAAATAGGACAACCAGAATGATCACGTCAGTACAGATGGAGGAATCTTGGAAGGGACATTGCAGATGCAAATCAACTGGTCCTCACTGACGGCTCTCTGAGTTCTCGCGTACCTATTTCCTCTATTATGGGATACAGAGCCAAATTCTCTCGCCTGCAATGTTCCGAGGGTAACGAAGGCGTTGATGTGGGATAACAACATTCGATTCTATTAGCATCTGAAATTCGCTTTAGAACATCATCGAAACCATAAAGGAAACTACTCACAAGGTTGCTAAAACTCCTCAACAGCCCATGACCGGTTTCGCCCTTCTTGAGGCACATCAGGCAGACGCAGTTCCCGAGTTTCCGTCAACCTTATGTTCTACTTGAACCCAAATTGGATGGGAGACTCAGCTGAATCTCCCGTTTACGATGTTCTTACGCAACTGAACTTCTCTTGCCGATTAAGACTGGGGCGTTAATACCTCAATGATAAGTGAAAAGATCCCTTAACATGGAGATGGTTGGGTTGGCTTACTCTCCAGTCACCACCAGCCAATGATTCTAGCCCAGCATGCTGGCCCGGAAAAAAAGGCGCAATGTGCTGTTCCTAAACATTTTATTCGTTAAGTACATTTCTTCATCGGCTTTCGCCTTCAGCGGGAAACACGGTTTTATCAGCACCGAAGCCGAGTAATATCTCCGGAGGATAGTTTCGAAGTGCCAGTACATCAAGTTCGGTCATTAGTTTCGTTTTTCAAACAAATGTAGAATGAATTTATCACCTGATTTGAATGAATAACCACGTGACCACCTAATTCAGTCCTGAGAAGCTAGTCGCCAGTTTGTGCCATCGCTCACACCACAATCAGCTTAGTTTAAAAACTGACACCAGTGCCCAGTAGAGTGTGTAAGTACACTTACCCGTACGAATCACATCCAAAAGTTTGTCCGAGTAGGAAACAGCACCATAATAGAACAGAACTTGTGGTACTCTGTGTGTGTGTGCGAACGAGTACATATTAGAACAAATTCAACCGAATCATCTACCTGTAATCTGCGAATGCGGTGATTTTGTCAATATCATCGAAAGCACCAACACCCTGTCCGTTGAAACACAACCAGAGTTCACCAACGAGGAGTTGCGCTCGTTTCAAAAAAGAAACTAAATAGGGATGTGAAGGCAAACAATCCGGCACCTTGCTGGCCTTCGTAGATAGCCGTATCTTTAAACGACGGGAAGTGTTCACAAAGCACATCCAATAGTTTAAAAGCTGATCTTTCGCACATCTGAACAACATTCTTGAACGAGCCACCGAAATCTCGAACAAGAGTCTTCCCACTCTCTCGAAGAAGACGTAGGCGCTCGGCGAACAAGGGTATTTCCACGTTCCCAACGGAACGGAAGATTCGTTTCAGTTGTGCCTCAGTGACGTGTTGATAAGTGTTTGGATCCAACAGATCAAATCCTTCCTAAGTAAAAGAGTAGTGTATCGATCGGAGACATGGGTGAACAAAACCTCGACCGCTCTGTTAACAGCTGCACAAAGAGCCCAGTAGCCCGTGTGTACTTTCTGATTGAACAGGACTTGGTACTGTTGATCGGATGACTCGGTCCAGAAAGAGAAATTCAGTAAATCGGTGACGAAAATCCTGCAAACCACGATGTAGACTTAAAGAGTTGGTGGAATTCGCACACTACCATTCAATGGCCCGGTCATTTGGGATCTTTGGAGTAAGCTCTTGGGAAGACCATTTTTCAATTCCGAACGTACCCGAAGACAAAGCAAATGATAACTCCCCAACTGGACGGATGGGGTCTAGGCACTCACCTCTTTCGCCAACTTTTCGATCCCAAAAGAGTTAATGTGCACGTGGGTGGCACGTTGAACAATGAATTCAGCAGACAAAGCTGGTGAAAGGGTTGCCATATTTGGAGGCAGTGAGATTAGCTCATCAAGCTGGTGAGAATAAAAAGGGGAATTGCTAAATACACAACCTAATAAATGTCTTGTCAAAAAACAAAAACGTGTGAAGTCCGCCGTTGGTGAGGACACCACGAAGACAACTGTTTAAATACTCCTGGGAAGACAACTACACGACCGAGTGACGCTGTCACAAAATGAGATATTTGTCGTATAACAGACAATCAGTTAACTGACGCAATGTCCTCGTAGTTTGAGAGCTCATCAAGTGGTTTGTGTCAAAGAAACGAAGTAAAGATTGTACATGGCAGCATCGCGCAAACACACTGCAGCAACTTCGATCGTGCCAAGCCATGTGTTCGGCAGTCTATACGGCGTTTACAGAATCTATAGAGCGGAAATCTGTTCCGACGGATGTCCTATGGGTCTTCAACAGAAGAACGAACACATCGTCAATCTTTGCCGAAAGCGTTGTGTACACACAACAAAGTTTCGCGTATATGAATCCTACCGTTCCGTAGTTGCGAAAAACACTCTACTATGACCAAATGATATTGATTTCAATCGCAGTTTTGTAAAGTGGCTGCAAGTGGATGGTGTCATCAATCCCGAAATTCGCACAAATCTATTCGGGACTGAACCGATGGGGAAAGAACTATCGCTAAACTATGGTACTACCCTAACAGGTCCCGAGTTCAACACACACTACAGGCCCGGTCCGGGTCGCTACACCACGGCGTGGCAACTTCACTAAATTGTGTGGAAAGGACCTTATGGCTTGCAAACAGAATGTCGACCGGTGACGGGGCGTCGTTCAATGTCTGGATGAATCGCTCCAATTCAGATTACGAAAGGTTTAGATGTCACTCACCTTCCAGAGTGGAGTCCGAAAAATCCTCATAGTTGGAAACGCTTGAAGGTATGGCCGCCAATCGACGCCAACGGCATTTTTGTTGTGCGCACCTCGGCATCATTGTGTTAAGCTAGCACTAGGTACCTTCCACATCCAGTTTCATTTTACTCTTTATGCCAAAGCTTTCAAAGGCATCAGTGTTGAACACTGTTGTGCTATCGATGATGACGAGATAGAAAAGTGAGTTGGAAATCCACATCGATACCTGTTTTTATGAGCGAACAGTGCAACTCGAGTAACAACGAAAAATGTCGACAGCTGGGTGTTCCGACCCTGAGACAACCAACGAAGGTAGGGTAGAGGGCTAGATGGGAGGCTGACTTCTTGATATTGTGGTTGGGAATGGCTGCTGCAATGATCCCGAGGGCTACACTGCCAGGAAATTCACTCTGCAAAAACCTACCATGTTAAGATCAAAGTGAAGTAACCAAACGGCTGGCACCGCGACCGTGAATAATCGTGCGATAAGGCGACCCGATGGTAAAATCGTGCTGACCTCCGCGATAGGCTTGAATACAGCATGGTATTTTATCACTTATGGGAACAGCGACGGTACCTTTCCCGGAGGAGTTAGAAAAGCTTGGCCTTAAAAACGGCACGCTCCGATCGTCCAAAGCTTAGTTGACCGTGACCTCCAGTGAACAGTTAGATACATGGCCTGACTGAACCAAACTGGACCACGTGACCTCCAGTGAACAGTTAGATACATGGTCTGACTGAACCTGGACCACCTGCGACTGCCGTGGGGACAGGGCAAGAGGATAGCCCATACAGAGAGGAGAAAATTTGTCTCGTAGAAAAACCCCGATAGTCTGTTGAGTATGGTCGCATAGCACTGAGCAAATATATACAACGGGGTTTGGCGATGTTGGAGAATATAGGTAGCTCTGGTGTGCTGCTTGCTTGTTCATCTGTTACCATGCAACTGTTGAGCTCAGCGAATAGATCAGCAACCAAACCACGGAATGTGCTTATACTGAGCACCCCGTCTAAACACCGAGACAGATGAGGCCAGCTCTATCAAAAGCAAGTAGCCTACTCACAAGGTTGCTGAAAACTCTCTGACAGCCCTTCCTGGGCTCATCAGGTAGGTGCAGTCCCCGAGTTTCCGTCAGCCTTATGTTCTACTTGAAACCGAATTGCACGAAATTAGCGAAATACACTCATTTCCCAACTAATTTGTTTTTCGACAGACTCACCTGGAACCCAGCTGGATCTCTCGTTTGTGATGTTTCCAGGCAACTGAATGTGCAGCCTTATGAGTAGTGCATTACGAATATCACAATATCTCGAATATCGTGCCAACTGAATGAGACGGCCTGTGTGCAGCACATTCAGTTGTAGAATATCATAAACGAGAGATTCGGTTGAGTCTTCGGTGAAAACTAAATTGATTTGCAAATGAGTGTGTTCCGCTAAGTAGCCTAGATATTGTAAGTTATCGTAGAAACCAGAACTTCGTTGTGGCAGGAAGTAGATCCGTTTGATTACATTGCTATGATTGCCCGGGAAGGGAGTTTCCACAATTCCTATGGCCGAAAGAGTCCTATCGGCAACTTCATCTTACAATTTTAAGCGCAACTGTAACAAAACCCAAAGGCTGTTTGTTGCGTTAGAACCACCACAAGCTGTATGAATCGGGGATAGTCTTATTGTGGATGATAATACGCTGAGCTCACACAGTGTTCGTCTTCCCTTCAAGTGAAATCGGCCAAAAAATTCATAAATGCCTTTAACCAGTGAAAGTAGAACTAAGCAGCGATACAGACCAACCGAATTAAAGGCACGCTTGGGTCCCCTTAGTTCTCCTAACCTTCATGCGCCACTAATGAATCGTTCCAAGGGAAAGATGCGACTCTGGGTTCATCTTCAAAATCTGGAAAAATCGAACATAACCAGGTCTGACTTCTATAACGGTATCATGTAGCTTAGCAATTGCATTCCAATGTGATGGGTTTGATTGGTTGAGTTGAATGTCACACACTAGCCGGTATCCTCTTTATGGACAGTCACCGCCGAAAGGCGCTATCAAATTTAAGCTAAATGGCTGCAGTGGTCACGAGAGATCTCTGATCGTTCCAGCAGTTACCGGTCATCGTGCTTCAGGTTTCAGCAGCAGCCCTCAACGAAATGCTCCAGCTGGAATTGAAAGATGCCCGTTCACACCCAGAACATGGAAGAGTACAACTAAACGTCTCTACAACAGAATTCAACAGTACATTCCTTGCTGGATTGCCAGCGATTATCGACGGACGTCGTCGTTGTCACCAAGTTTCCAAAGGTCGTGCTATCAAGCAAGGCGGATGGTTGACGTCATCCGCAGGATTAGTTAGTTGAACCCGAGATAGAAAGGGGTTTTGGTCAAGTGGGGATCTGGGAAGCCACATGATGAAGTCCAACGTTTCGACGCAGGAATACGACTGACACGTCTGTCGATACCACTAACCAGCGGCGTTCCGTGATTCGGTTCTTCTCTAGAACTCACACGAAAGAATAAGTTACCATAAACTCGAATTCCAAGGCCACTCTACGTCGGAAAAGTTTTGTGAATCCTCAACAGTGCTTGCCCCTGGAGAATTCCGGAAATAAGTAAGACTTGGTAATAGCATCAGGAGACACTTCAATGAATTCGGTGGCGATTTGAAAACATTCAGAATCCACTCGGTTACCCAATGAAACGTAATCAATATTCACTTTCCATACGAAAAACTGCATACAAAGAACTAGGGCGTTAGTGTTGTTTGAACATATTTTCAAAAAATCCCCTCAATGAGAATGAGATGTTTTTGTATACAACCCTGGTTCAATAGAGGTACCAGTGACTTAGAATAAGGAAAGAAACGCGGAAACAAAACCCACTACCAGCGGATAAGATCGAACCCTGAAATTCGATTTTTGCTCACTTAGGGTACAGCAGTTCAAGTGTGTTGTATTAGTCTCCCGAAGATGGTGCATTTACCCAGTACGATGGAACAGAGCCCGAGTACCATACTACTAAACTTGAAAGCCATTGGAGAACCCATGAATATGAAAACAAGTTCTGAATCATCGGAAGGTGAACAGCGTTTGGGGAAACATTTTGTACCCAAGGTGCAAATTCGAGTGGAACGGCACCCTAACCGACTGCTCCAAGTCTCACGCCTGTCACAACACCGTCACAGACTCGACTCATCTTGTACGTGAAACGCAAATCCGACATCAAGCAGGATTGCATTAGGCAAATCTTAAAATTACGTCGTATTTCGGGAGCGCCCCGAATACGGGAGACCAAAAAAGATGAGATCCTACGATTTTAAAAGACCTCGACTGAATGAATGGATTCGCTCCTCTAATTATTCTTGACCAGGAGAGTTGAGGTTCGTAAACCGTCTTCACAGAATCGCCGGAGCCAGCCAACCAAACCCATCAGATTGATGGGTTCGAAATACACAGTACGCATGCTCCACCACTGTCAACACAAGATAACTCTATTTTGTGAACCACTGTTGTCGAAAAGTTCACGGAAGACAGGCCGTGATATGGCACTATGAAGCAAAAGGGGCCAGTGTGAAACCGAAGCTACTGCGGGGGAGCGTGATAAGTGAAATGGTTATGTGGTTGTGAGATCGCCTCTTTTCGCTTGTTGGCGCATTTATCCGTGTACGCTTACTTCAATCTCAGAACAGCCGACATCAAATAAGTAATATTGACAGGCTCACCTAGGACACCGATATTTTTAGTGAATCCATCTGGAGACTATTACTGCGCTACGGATAGGGATGGCACACCGTTAAACATGAGATTCCACTGTCTGACAAACGAAATATTATTCCAGGAAATCGGTTTGTGATTTCTGAACGTCCTACGTAGCACACAATTAATCGAGTAAACAAAGGAACAAGCAATACAGCATGACACCGTTGTTCTAACCAATGCGCGGGCTGACCTTGTTGACTTGGTATTCACACTGGAACGAACCAAGGCACTTCAGATATCATGCTAATCCGATCGATGAATAAGTCAATGATATCGTTAAACGCCTAAGAAACGTAAGGCACTAATCAGACGATCAGCATGGGTGGGTTTGGATGTTACCACTGGCTGCAGTGGTAATGAATGTCTTGAGGAACTGACATATTCGGCTTTTGATAATAGATACGATTTTTGCTTCCACGACACATATACCGCCCGTAAATTACTGCATATGTACTCAGTGCTGAAAAGCGGAAACATTATTCTGACCAAATAGGTGAAGATATCCAGCTACATTAGCAAAGTGGTAAAGCCCGGAATAACGCCAATATATCGATATCATCCAACGCCCGCTGAGACATGTATGAATGAAACTATTTTGATGAGGGTAAAAAGCTAACATTAACCTGTCGTATGAAAACAGTTAAACAAATTCAAAACGGGATATAGTCGGTGCCGACGCCAAATTACATACGAGAATAATCGAGCCCCATTGTCAGGCAGATCAAAACAACTGACGCGAATTCTTAGTCAGCTTATGGGTGAGATACAACAGGTTGAGGGCCGAGGCAAGCAAACCATCAGATCAACACACAATGCTGTCAGCTGATTATTACCAGAATAAACGCCGCCCACATCAGAGAAAACAATATACTACTGCGTATGTTTAACAGGATTGTAAATCAAAATGAAAACAAGATACAGTATGTACAGGGGGTTGTCATAGATGCGATCAGTCTAGTTCGCGAAATCGTGCAAACATGGCACGCTTAACATTATCTTTATAGTTGTCCGAAGGGGGGCCGCGTTTCAAAGGCTTGATACCGAGACCGACACCAGCCTCGCGAAATTCGGCTTCGATTATCTGAGTTCGGCCTTGATTTTCGCGTCCAAGACCTTGTCCCGCTTGCCAGCCCATTTTCTCCATCAAACGACTACCCACGCTGGGACCTAGAGTACGAATGAGCGGTGAAACACAAAGAGAAAAGAGGGGGAATCCGGTAAGTGAAAAGCACCCAGAGAAAATAGTCTAAAGCCACATAAAACCCAGTAAGAACAGAGTGATGGTTGGCTGAACCGAGGGAACTAATGCACAGGAAGTGAGCGACAAAGCGCTACAGAACCACGATTGTCTCAGTAACCATTCTTCGGATGTCCATATTACAAGGTCCCTCAAACCTGAGTCAAGAACAATGGCGAACGTTGGACGTACAATGCCGTTAATTTGGGACGAAGTGGAGTGAATCGCGCTAAGTAGGTGGAACAACAATAATCTCGTCTTCCCGGAGTTGGGATAACTGGGTTTGCGTAAAAGGACCGACAACTTACCGGTAGGTTGCGGTGGAGCGAAGGCCGGCGCAACTCCCAACATCGGTACTGGCTCAGCAGTAGGCAATGGCACAGTATGTGTCGGGCTCCGGTCGTATTTTCTTCGAGGAGGAGAAGGCATTCCATACTTTTCTCTACGCTCCCTGGCGCGATCGCGGTACTGGGGGGCCCCTTGTCGGGCCGCGACCGACTTAGCATGATCGTTGGCTGCATCGGCACCAATCTGTATCAGCGAAGATATTGACAAGTTGCCTGAATTCGCACCGGCTGCACCGGCGGGGGACTCTGTCTTTTGTGTCGGCAGTGGCTGTAGGCCATGTTTCGCCCTAAGCTTGTTGAGGTTTTCAATGTGAAGGGCCGAAAATGCCCGGTGCTTCTGAAGGGTTGCTGCATCTTTGAAGCCTCTTGAACAAAGTAAACAGGCTAGTTTTGCCCAGTCCAGTAGCCTGAAACAACACAACGTAAGTCCTGGTACGTACAGACGGCATTAAACATGCTATGACAGACCGTCGCAAGCTGATTCACGAAACGGACACAAATGATTTAAAGAAAAGTTCATCATCATTCAGCTGTAGCACGCTTTTCGGTGTCAAACTGCCATGCCACCCGAAGGAAGCACAAGGGCTGAGATATTGTCAGGTTGCCTAAGTCTAGACAAGGGAAGTCGAGATGCAAAGGTCGGGTTCGAACCACGGACCTTCCGGTAATTAAATTCGTGCTCTAACAAAACCGTCTAGTATGGTGCTCGAGGTCTACGTTTTACGGTGTCATCACCAGTTCTACTTTGTGTTAGGAACGCGACTAACTAGCCAACAAAAATTGAGGTGTTTTGATGCCAAACGGGGTGCAAGGGAATGTTTGACGAGTTACGTGACTGTGCACCTTGTAAGAAACAATGAGCCACAATATCATATAATAAATATGTTCGTTCAGCTGTAACATCCTTTCGGTAACTAGCTGCCATACCACCCGGAGGAAGCACGAGGGCTGGGATACTGCCAGGTCGCCAAGGCCTAGACAGGGAAAGTCGAGTGGCAGAGGTCGGGTTCGAACCACGGACCTTCCGGTCAGTAAATTCGCGCTCTAACCACTTGGGCCATCTCGCCCTCACAATATCATACAGAACTATGACGTCCCGGCTCACTGGATTAGCCACATTTTCTAGGTAAAACGATAAGCCGTCCCATACTGTTTATGCAGTGAGCATTTTACTTTACTGTGCAGCTCAGAGTTGGTGTACATTAGACTAATAGCTAACCTCTAAAGAAAAAGCTAACATACTTGGCCTCTTCGTCCGCCACTTTTCCTTCGGCTTCGAGATCTGCGTCACTAAGCTCTTTCTGCCTGTTGATGAGCAGATCATTTGGGCCTGAATCATCACTGTCTTCTGCTCCACCATACTGTGCAACAAGGCTGGAGTTGCGCTCGGATCCAGGGCGCGTTTCCGAGGTAGGAGGGGCAGAAACGGCAGCTTCAAAAAGGGCGTAGCCAGTATCGGCTGTCCGACTGGTTTCAGCCTAAAAAACACCATAAATTCGCATATATCGATATGAACTGGAAGGGGATGGATGTACAGGAAGGGACCGAGAATTAACCAAGGAAACTTACGCTGGATGTTTCGTTGCGTGGCGCCACAGCAATCGGGTTTTTCTTCTGAGCGTTCATACGCTTGGCCCATTTTTCCATTTCCTTTGCGATTTGTTGCGCCGATTTACCTTTTGATAGTCTCACCTGAAAGAAATAACAGTGGTAGACTACGACTTAGTAACCTCGAGTGGGGCACTAAACCGATTGATCGGTATGAATGGAAAATGCACAGTTGCAATTCACCGTTACATTCGAATGGTTAAGTAACCCATTTTCGAGCCCGGAGTAGAATGAAGACTTCAATGTCTATGATCAACTAACGAACTCCCTTAAGGATGAGACTAGCACTATATCGAGGCTTCTAACGCCCAATGACAAATTTTTTAAAGTACGTTATTTGAGTCCGAAAGCAACCCACCTTCCACGACAGAGCTTGCATAACTCTGCTTGAAGTTGTCTGGAAGCGCTGTGCATTTGCCTCGGAACGCTTCCGACAAACTAGGAACACAACCTCCATAAATCGCATTTATTCGTCCTATAAATAAATTATAATCATACGACGATGAAGCATCAGTATTCGACGACATCGCTACTGATGACGATGACGCCGGTTTTCAGTGTCAGTACATATTTACGCATCGACACGTTCGGTTGAGTACAGCGGCTCACGAAAACTGCGTAGCTCAGTAGCTTGGACATTCTGATCGGCGAGCCACGGTCGGGTACAAAAACGATGACCCAGTACGCATCCAAATGCTCAAAATGAGTGTTGGCCACTTTGTAAATACCTTTAGACCTTAAGTTACGCGTACATGACACAGGGTGAGATCGGACCGTACATTTGGCATAGAAGTGGGGGGGTGGTATAAACTATAATCATGTTTTTATGCCTCACAAGAGACAGAAACAGACTTGCGGCAATAGCCAATGACTCTCTAAGGCCAACGCTCCATTACGTATCCAGCTGCCAACCATTGCTTTGACCAGGCCCACGAATGTTGCGAGTTCAAACCAGTCTTCTCTTCGCTGCAGCCGATTATCTGAGGACTTTCATCCTCACTACGGGTCAAGAACACATTAATTTGGGAACATTCAAGTCGCACTTTGTCTTTGGTCAAATGATCGGATGGTTTCATATGACCATAAAAATCTTACGGCAGCTGGCGCTGAGACCAGTCGCCCCCACTCCCAAATCGTACTGAGGCGGCTTGATACCATAATTTTTCCGTAGACTGGATAACCCACAAGTGCGCTGTCGTCGGGGTAGCCGCTAGTTCGCGACCGAACACTTTCTCAGTCGACTGGACACCCATAAACAACCGAATCGGGACTGTTCGACCATCCGCCTCCATAGGAACTGCCACAGGTTGAAATACTGATTGCTTTTTATACTAATGGTAGCACTGATTTATCCGCACATTTCTAATCTGTATCTGACACGGTCTTCTAGTTCACTACGAGCTGTAGAACGCAACACAGGGGCGCCTCATCCCATCACAGAAACACTTTGGTGGTATTCAGTTTCGGGGCAAGGGGTGGTGATAACGGCAGACACCTTATTTAACTCTGTAATGACCCCTAGTTACCCCTCAGCAGTAGACTGCTGGCGCCGTTGTGCTACGCAAAATGCGGAACCACAGAACTAAATGTTATCACATTGTCATCAGCTGGCGATCACGAAGTCCACAGTTCTTGAATGCCGAACATCCTGGAATAGGTGAGTTGATTTGGATCATGCACAAATGCAACACAGGCTTTCATTTGTTTCGCTCCGTAAACTTAGAGAACGCGCTCGCTACCTGGCAGCAGAGAAGCTTTATGATCCACAAGTCAGAAAAACGTAACCAAGCTCAGCACGCAATACTCTGCCAGTGGCTCCTTTGGAGGATATCGACGGCAGAAATATCGGTGGACTGAGATTACGCCGATGATAGGGGGCGAGATGGCTGTGTTTAGAGCACGAATTTACTGACCGGAAAGTCCGACCTCTGCCTTTCGACTTCCTCCTGTCCAGGCTTGGGCAACCTGACAGTAACCCAGCCCCGGTGCATCCTTCTGGAGGCGTGGCAGTTAGGCACCGAAAGGGTTCTACAGCCAAACAACGTCGATGATACCACTTGATTACTCGACAACCAATACGCCGCGCAATCTGCTCTTGATATTAGATGTGATTCCATGTTTTGGCATGCGCTTTGTAGCTTAAATGTGCACAGCTTGAGGTTGTTCATAGGCCACTTCATAGGCTGCGAAGTCAATGAACGTATTGGCAAAGTTTGGGAAACATTTGCAAACTCATGTTAGCTGTGGCGAACCTATTAGACTCTAAAACCTCGAATGCCTACAAAATTTCGATTACGGTACCCCTGTAGCATAGCAAGAGCTAGCTGGATGCAGCGTGTGGTTTAGCCACCTTACTTTACAGCGACTGTTCCCAATGATAGATAGGTGGTAAGATATGCAAAACTCAGTCCTAATCACCGCTTACCAGACCGCTGTGTTCTATTGTTACCCCACGCTGGCCGAACTAAGAGCCTTTGGGTTTCCGCATCTCCTTGGCTGGGCTTCAAATAGTTATGCTTGCATGTAATTTGGAAACCCTACAGGAGATGGTACTTGACGCACAATCGCAGCCGGATTGCCCAACTAAAGATTGTCTGCCGCCATAAGCTAAAATCTTGTTGAGCGACTTTCACACACTGATGGCGGCCTCCAACAGGATGCTCAGATGTGCTTGCCTCGATGCCGTTTCACCGTGCGGGCCGTTTTCCATAGGGAGAATTTTTTTACCAACTCCCCACTCTTCCCCTACCAAATTTTTGCGAGAGCACTTTTCCTCACGGCTGTGTAACAGCTAAGCAACATTTATTACTACTGGTCAGTTGGTGCCCATTTATCAGAATAGAAACTTACCAAATAGCTCCCCTGTCTCGAAAAGGTACTCTACATGCCACTATCTTCCTGTGTCCTAGAGACAGCTTATTTTTCGTGCTGTCATGTTTGGGTCAGCCTTTCCACATACCTATCAGTCCTTGACAGTATCCAAAACATTTCACTTCATTGGGTCCTATTCTCAAGCGAGCGGCTCTGATCGCTTCCTAATTGTCTGTCAGCTGCATCCTTTTCGCCGTCTTATTGGTACCGTTGTGGTAGCAATCGTTTTTCCGACAAAAAACGTCTAACTCGATTTCCACGATATCCAGTACCCATACCGAAGTGATGTTTTTGCCTATTTCTTCCATCTGACGACTGCACTTCGGGACAACTACTATTAATTGCCTATTGCACAGTAAATCTGCTACTTTTGAAGATTCAGATCAACACATTCGTGTGAAAGCCACCTTAACTGTACTGTTCAGTTAGGTGTCTTGGCTTTCATACAAAATGTGAAGACCTTCAGACCTTTTCCTGTGTGATGGAAACATAAAAGTGTGAGAACGTTAGCAACTAAGCTACTGTGGTTATGCAGTACCACAATTCAGTCTTGGCGAAAGCAAAGAGGCGTGTTTAGAATCAAATATAAAAAGCAACCATGGAAAACGCACCCGTTCGCCGCCTTCGGAATTTCCTTCAGTGTTATTTTTAGTGGCTGCATTCTGGTCGCTGTTTGTCCCTTCGGTCTCCGGTTTTGAAGCCGTTTCAGTGGATCCAGGTTGGGGGACTGGGAAATAAGTACTACGGGTCTGATCCCAGTAGTAATATCGCTGGCTGACACGATCGTAGAAATACTTGGAGTTGGGTTCGTACAACAAACCAGTGACCGGATCGTAGTAGAAACGCGTGGATTCATCATAAATATACTTAGTTGTGTCCGGATAAGCTAGAAATGGAAAAGTTCCATTGGAAGTTCAAGTCAGAACATCTATTTTATAAAAGCGTTCAATACACGACTAAAATCTACTTCAAGCTTTGAATTTTTTCTGTTGTGAATCGGTAGATCACAAAGAGTTCAAATCGTTCTATAACCTCCGGCAATAAGGATAAAACAATACATGGGAATTTAAGTGAACGGACAGCTGAGCGTGCACCCGTCCAGACAACATGATATCCTATACTGTCCCAACCAACAAATCATACCAAAGGGAGTGTGGATAGGGCTCAAAACAACACTGGACAACTGCCCGAGAAACCTAATAGAAAATAAAGGAAATGCATTGATACGTCAAGTGGTTTTATCGGTGAGAGGAGATCGAACAACAGGGATTGAAAACGAGAAATGCCAGTAAACTCAAGACATGCACTGAATAACAGAATGGTGTTATCTGAAGAGCATCTGCTACTGCCACCGCTAGGCAAATGATAAACTGGCATATGAAATAAGTGACCAGACCCATGCACTTGGTGCAGCTCAAGTGGATAGGAAGTCAACGTACGGTCGAAAACCATTAGCTGATGTTTCCACAACACACGCACAACGCTTCGAATAAAATATAGATTAAAGCAACCGACTTCATTGTCTTCCACGTAACGGCGTAGCTTAACAACCCCAGATCAACGCTGGACGACTTGCCGCGTTAAGGACCTCCCCATTTGTCACAAAGTAATGTACCCCCTAAGTTAGAGAACGAAACGAGCTTCAGCGGTCTTAGGCACGAGTTACTACTCGAAGCGAATACCTGATCTTGCTATGGCAATCAGCACTCTGAAGACGAAAGTATGGTCCGAGTCAGCCTGATACATCAAGTTATTCAATACATACTCTACCTGGATGGGATCAGACCCAAAAATACTCTTTAAGAGGTTCGATGCCACTACAAAGCACGATGGGCGCTGTCGTCCATATACCCTTCGGAATGGTACGAAATATTGGGATCGGTTTGGTAGGATACGGGGATACGACAAAAATGCCAATGTTGTCGGTGAGAACAGCCTTTCAGGAGTGTCTTGTAACTACGCTTGCACCTGGCTGGGTGCTGCAAAACACGGTCACCTGGATTGATGCGTCACAAAAGTGAACGCGCCTCAAACTATGCTAGGGTCCGGACACTTCTGGTACCCGAATTTTTTTAGGCTCAACTACATGTTTTGGGGATGGAATCGGAATAACGGTGAATCAGGCAACATTGGACTAGGTTTTATCCACACCAGACTCTAACAGTCCGATGTTAAGATGGCCTCATTTCAGAGGTTTCATGATATCGAAACAGAGGGGGGGGGGAATCGACAGTTGTCACACTAATCAGTCGTGCAAGCAAACGAGGTGGTTTGGGGGAGCAGAAAACAGAACAGCAGTCGTAACACGACGGCGAACAAGTATAATGCAGAGCATGATAATTCACTTGGTGCGGGTTTCACCTGAAAAGTATTCCCCTGATCAGGAAAACCAAGATGGTACTCGCCAAACCAACAGAGTGTGATTAGAGTTATAAAGGTTTCAGGACTTACGGAAAACTGTCATGGCGGCGGTTGCAGCATGAAAAGGTAAGCTCGGTGGCGGCAAAGTTTGGCCTGCAGCTACTATTCGAGCCACAGATGTTCCATATGAATTAGACTGCGAATGATCTTGTGCAGCACGCATTGATTTGGCGATGGCTGAAATCAGATGCTGTTCCGTTTGCTTCTGTTGAATAGCTGCGTGTGCGACCGCTGGACCGCTTGTTGGGCCCTGGCTCAAAAGTGCGGAAGCCGCGACTGCATTCATCGCAATCGCGTCGGGTGTTATGTTGCTGTTTTGTGCTGCCATGGCAGCATGAGCCAAATCTAGGGCCAGATTGCGGCTACTGTTGAGTTGAGCATTGTAAGATCCTTCGGTTTTCAGGGTCGCCATGATGGTGCTGAGACGGGAATTGAACATGGAACAGAGCTAGACTGATAAAGTATAACCTCCTTTGTAAGCGCGAGTTGAAGAAAAATCACCTTAGGTTGGTAGTCGTCCTTGTGTGACGACACGACTTTACGCAGACGGACACAAGTCGATGCCACCTAGTGCGAAGTTACACATGAACCAGGGTTACATTTGCTGACTTCTGCGGGCAGAACTCGACGTAGCAGAGGGCGACTGGTACACCAAACGAATAAAGTGAACTCAAGTCCAATATCACAACCCATGGGATCACCCACGCCTCTTCGGGACTTCAAACATCCAGCGGCCATATGAACATAAAGCCCTTATAAGTCACTACCGCTACAGTTTTTAGCCGTGTATGTACATCTTGATTTACGCTTCTCCAATTAAGTTAGTCATCACTGAAAACAATACAATAGTAGCACAAACCTATGCTTAACTGTCAAACTGCCATGATGGAAGCTCCAGTAAGAGCGGAAATGGACAATGTCGAAATAAACAAATCTGAGCAGCATGTCAGAGTATGTGACAATCAACAGGATCGACCCAGTAGTATTGGCTGACCTCGCCGAACACAGGCCCGGAGCATGGCAACTGGGTTCTATCTGGGCCGTCCGGCTACGAAGCAACAGAGGTCGGTTGCATTCAATAATCTGGGGGCTTCCAACCTCATGTGGGGGTCACGTAGGGTCCAGCCAAGAGGGCTTGAAGATCTTACCGCGTGTAGTTCGGCTGAAGCTGCTTCCATACACTGTTCCAACGTTATGAGCTCGAGAGCAGGGAGCAAAACCAACAAACCGGAATATCTGTGGTTCGAACTCAACTTCGGCATCTCGCCTACTCTTGTTTAGGCTTGGGTGACTGGAATCTATCTAAGCCGTCGTGTTTCCAACAGGTGGCATGGCAGCGAGGCGCTGCAAGGATGTCATACCATGACCGTTACAGAACGATCACCAGCCTAGTTTTAGGTTTGAGCTTCTGCAGTCAGTAATCAGCAGGGCGTAGAGGAAGGCTGCAAGTTGACCAGTTCGATGTCCCTACGAGAAAAGCGGTGACGAGTCTGACTGATATAGCCATCATGTGAAAAGTTGCCCTGTTGAAACACCTCCCATTTCCATCCACAGCTAATAGCAATATCTACAAGTCTGGAGGTACGCTGTGCTTGTTTACACACTTCGCCGACCAAGATGAAAATCCGAACCAGTACCACCCGGTTGAAACTGATTTCTTCTGAGGAAGTTGAACGCTCGTAAAAGTTACATGCCGACACGGAACGTTTTCTAATGTGGTGTTGTCGCTGACTCCTTGTGACCAGAGAACTGACTCGAGATAACAGACTGTCTGAACACCTTTTCAGTTCATCGCGGTTCCGGATTCTAGCAACACTGAGTCATTAAAAAGGTACTGACGCTACATCCAAACGCGACCTATGACTGACGTCTCGTACTGTATACGGCATAGGAACTTAGAAAATGTGCAAAACATCTATGAACCCAAAATTGAGTTGGACTATGCCCTGAAACTAATCGAGACACGCAAGTCGAAATTCATTCTACATAACCGTTTGAATCATAGTGAGGTGACTTGCAAGGGCTCTGAGGCGAAAAGTTTGTGGAATATTATTGAAATTTCTTTCCACAAAGTGTCACGGGATCGTTTCATAACTTTGTCGCGCCTCTTTTGTGCTAGATGATGAAAGTAACGGTCTAGCAAATGCTGGAGTCAAGTTGCGATAGGACCAATCACCTGCTGACAAAAAGACCCAGTTCCGTCCAGGGAAAGCAATCGTTATAAAACAAAAAACTTGGTTCATCATCACAATTATTATCATCAGAGACACCAATACAAGTGTTGACACTGATGATTCACCGCCGCACAATCACAAAGTCTATCCAACTATGTTTAGTCTTAGTTCAAAGCTTAGTCTATATTTGGAAGTTCACCAAAACCACGTACGGTATGGACTTATCTCAATTGGCTGTTAATGTAAGAGTTCTCCCGTCCTGACATGCTTATCCTGATAAGCCTACACCAAAGAGGGGGCACTGGTCATATCAGAGTTCAGCAGTAACCGGTTATTGGACATATGAGTTGGTTGTTACCACTACTGGTGGCTATCCATGACGGCCGCAACCATAATAATTGATCATAATTGAGATTGTCAGCTGCATGGCGGCTCCGGGGTAATGGTCAACCGAAAAAGAAACAACTCACAATGTGGCTTCATGATGCCGACAGAATGAGAACACAGCTGTTTTTCCAATTCTCTTTTTCGGCTTGCTTAATTCAAACTCGTTAAAACAGAGGTGCTTCATGTTTCCCACTTAATGTAAAAGTTTCACAGCCATATCGAAAACACCAGGTCTGCTTGGCGTTTCGACAATGTCTACAAAATCCCAAATCAGATCCTGCAAAGCAAGTTCCTATTGAATGAACAAGATTAACTTCGCTCGGTTCGTGGAAGGAACTGAGCACTGGTACTTCATGACTGGATACAGAACTGCACAGACATCCCTAGATGTGATTAGAATAGCCCGGGAGCGTACCAAAGTTGGACCTGACAAATAAAAAATTGATGAGCAGACTAGGCAGCACGAAACAGACCAAGCTGGAAGCCCCAGTTGGACATCTGAACATCCAAAACGTTCCAGGACTGTATCACACTTGTGGATCACCAAACACAAGCGCACTAGTGTGAACAACTGCCAAAAATCAAAGGCTTCGTGTAGAACCCTAAAAGCCGCTGCCATGTACCACCAGATAGTAACCTGCTTACGCGATTTTTGGAGTGGATCTGGATATTTAAACTCCAGACCATCCATGCAGTAGAAAAGCACCGACTACAAAGGGAATTTGAAGAAGCCTACACTGATGGCAATCATCATTCATTGAAAAATCACACGTATAAGGATGACATCAAACAAGGATTTTCTGTAGGGACAATTGGGGAAAGTACAGGAACACGAGGATTATCAGTTATAAACTATGTGCCAAAGGTACGTTTGTTCCAGTTGTTACGGTTTCGACCACCGGAAAATACAAACCCTCAAGACATGACACCAAAATACTGAATTATTCATGCCCCCCAAAAGTTGCATACAAAAACTGTCTTGGCGTACGGGACGTACTTGAAAGTGTTCTTGGCGTACGAAACCGTGACCGCCTTTCCACCTATTTCAAAGAGCTTGTACTCTTTAGAAACTATGTCCATAACTTTATAGGCATCCGCGACCGTCGGTAGTTCTGCGAAAGCGAAGCAACGTGATGTGTGGGTCACCTCGTCGCGCATGACATGACACTGACGGACCTTCACATCAGCAGTATCTTCAAAGACTTTACATATGTCTTCTTCAGTCGTCAAGGCATCGAGACATCGCAGAACCAACGCTGTAGGAGTGAAAAATATTTTGATTAAAGTAGCACGGGGTTATCACCTACCGACCGGTGTTTCATCTTAATGCACACCTACAATCAAAGTTTAGATGAATCAAATCGCCAGTGATGCGATTATTCCGTCCATTGGTACATCGGTAGTGATGGGAGACCAAATTTGTTCATTGCGGCCATCCCAACGAGTAGCTTTATTAATATCCTTCTCGTTTGTCCAGGTAATAAAACGGAGGAACTGAGTTTGCAGGGAATTGTGGGTGAAGAATGTACACTGAAAAATCTAAAATTCAAGGAACCAGGGTATCCGTATCAAAGGTGCATCAGATATGGTAGTCTTCCTGAAGAGCGGCTGTCCTCGAGACCCGCCAGAACATCGCCCTCCTGGGGACATGGGCTTCTAGACGAAGTCGTGTAAGTTACCTGTAACTAAAGCTTTGTACCTGGAATAACCCCCCTTAGATTGCTCTCTACCCATCATAGTGTCAAGCATTTGGGACCGAACCAGTTTGTCCTCTTATTGAAAGCACTCTTGAAAGGAAGCAAAAATTAGATTAGGTTGGTACACAAAATAAAATAGGTTTTTTGTACAATGCCAGCCTACTGGAAGACGCTCAATGATGCACGATACAATGGTCTGTCCAAACGAGTTGCAAACGTGCTTTAGCGTTTGAATAACCCCCCTTAGATTGCTCTCTACCCATCATAGTGTCAAGCATTTGGGACCGAACCAGTTTGTCCTCTTATTGAAAGCACTCTTGAAAGGAAGCAAAAATTAGATTAGGTTGGTACACAAAATAAAATAGGTTTTTCGTACAATGCCAGCCTACTGGAAGACGCTCAATGATGCACGATACAATGGTCTGTCCAATCGAGTTGCAAACGTGTCTTTAGCGTTTGGTCATCGTTCCACAACGAGGACAGAAAATCAAACTATCCACTTGAGTTATCGCGCTTTTACTGTACAAAGTAGCCATAGATAAAAATAAATTGTGGCTTTTTTTAAGCGGGAAAAGACGTCAATCTTTGTATTCATGACCCTCAATAACACAGACTTCCCAATTTACCTGCAGTCTAGTGGTTTAAGCAAACCCGTGAGATCATCACACCATATCAAACCGGATCTACCTGTTTTGGCTGAAAAATGTACGAGCGCCCTTACCATGGTGCGGACCAATAAACGAACTGTTTAACCACATGCACAGAGGAAGAGAAGAGACTGTGTGTTTTGGAGTGAAGTCCCATGCACTGGCAAACTCAAGACTCATTGGTATGTGACCGACAGATTCGAAGGTAAATGAGCCACTTAAAAGAAAAATTACCGACAGCACCCAACTACAGGTCTGTCCTTGTAGTCCGACTAAAGCAGTGAATTCCAACTCCGTTTTAATTTACTCCCTCATTCGTGACTCATCAGGAGAAAAGCCCGAAGCCCTCTCCCTAAAAAAGAAGAGCGTGGCTCTTTTCGCCTATAATTCCCCCTTAACTTTGTACCACCCAACCCAGCCTATCGGGTTCACATACCAAGTACTATGGAGGTGGTTGCCGTCCCCTATTATTAATCAGGACTTCTAAACTACATCTAGGCATCCATTATTCCATTTCGCTCCCGAGCTTGCTCCAATCTTTTCGGGGCTTTTTTGTCTGCGTTTGTTCACGAATAATTTCCTCAGGTCGGAATATGGTTGCTCTGGATATATCATGAGCGTTCGGGGGCGAGATGGACTAAGTGGTTAGAGCGCGAATTCACTGACCGGAAGGTCGGTGGTTCGAACGCGACCTCTGCCTCTCGACTCCCCCTGTCTAGGCTTAGGCGATCTGGCAGTATCCCAGCTCTCATGCCTCCTTCGTGTGGCATGGCAGCTAGGCACCGAAAGGGTGCTACAGCTGAACGATCATAAGCGTTCGACAGGATGTGGTATAGGATATTCCTTCTTGGCTTACAGTAGATAAGCCGCTTTTAGATCCTGTGAACTGGGTTGAAAGCCGTTCCAAGCACTGCAGCTGGAGTTTCCTAAACATCTATGCCCTCTATGATACTCCTCGTCCCAGATACAAGTAATCAGCTAGCACCGCTAGCTATTCTCCTGGCGGTTACGTTAATCGGATATGCACTCATTTCCCAAGATCCCAATATTGATTAGTCTACAGCTAATGGGTACACTTCCGAATAATGGCCTCGGCAGAGCTACTCAGGATTATACCCACGTCATTAGTCGACGCATCCGGAGCAACACATAGCCGGAACTGGAGACGAAGAACGTAGTTGGGGAAGTCAATGAATTGAGTAAGTCAACGGCAAGCAACGCCGCGCTCAGGACAGCTCAACGGTTAAGGTGGAGAGGTACTTGACAGTAAGGTCCGTTGCTTTTCGATTGCTTTTGACAGTAAGGTCCGTTGCTTTTCGATTGCTCCTTTCTAGGCTTAGGTAACCCACCGCTACCTCGAACCTCGTGCTTCCTCCGAGTTGCACCGAAGCCGTGATCCGAAAGTGCCACTATAATTATAATTACTACCCACTAAAACTCCCAAGGAACGAGCCAAGACTGCCTGTTGTCCAGGTTATCGTAGAGCATGGACGATGGATGGCAACTTGAAGGCAGTGCAGGGACAATAAAACCTCTGGCTGCAAGGATCTTAATGACGGGAGATAAAAAACGGTTTTTGACAGGTGCTGGTGCAGAAGGCATCCAGAAAGGGCGAGAACTTTCACCGTTATTATGTCATGGTCCTTTTGATATTTCAACGACGGTCGCAGTGCCCTAAGTCGGGTATATTAACGCCCCCACGGCCAAGCAGATCCCGTATATTAGATCGTGGGGCAAAAACGGGAAATACTAGACCCATCCATTAAGTCTGCATAGCTCCCAGCTTATAGGGCTCGTAGAAAGATTGTGGAGCGAAGAGAAAGGCGCGAGCTCTCGACCGAGATCTGGTCGGTCTTTTTGTTGAAGCCCCGCTACGCTTGTTATGGAAAACCCAGCAACATCTCAGCTCCCATAATCTACATTTCAAAGCAATCATACATCAGAGATGAGGAAGCTTGACTTTTTTGACAAGCTGGTTACCGGAGTTTCACTGACTGACAACACGCAAGCAGCACCGAATTGATGCGATTTCAATCCTAAGGGACAAAATTACGCGTAGAAATGCTACTGAGTGATTAACGGACGTTCACATTGTATTCATATCCATGCGGTTCTATCAAGGTTGATAGAACGGAGCGAAACAATTAGTCAAAGTGTTCAGTCCATCGTATCGAACGGTTCCGTGGAAATCGATTCAATTTAAAAGCTATAACCCATGCACCATGAGTACACTGGTTCCACCCAACAGTGGGGACGTGGGAGATATAACCAAACATTGGAAGCGATGGCAGTCAACCGATGAGTAGAAAAACCGGAACGGAGCGATGCTTTTTTATATTGGGTTTCTTTCTTGAGATGTCATTTTTAGAACGTTCTCAGATCTTAACCATTGACTTTCGATGCATCTTCATGGTACCGTTAAGGGTTCATCCCGACAATACTGTTTTCATTCTACCTCATGGAAAGCTCAAAAAGCCAGGGGGATAAATTTTTCTCATTCCTCCCACAAATAACTAACCAGCAACCTAGGTAGCTCCAGAAACTTGTCAATAGGATTAACTGAACGACATATGTTAACCTACACGATCCTGAGGGAAAACCTACTCGCGGTCAAAATCCGGCTGCGGTTATAAGAGCTCTTCCACATGGACCTGAATAAACAAAAAAATCGTTCAACCGTGGTATCCTTCCGGTGCAATGACGTCACACAACTTGAAGTACAAGGGCATAAATACTGTTTTAGATAGCAGTGGTTAGGGCGATAACTTGATGACCGGATAGATAAATAGTTCAGCTGTAGCACCCCTTAGGTGCCTAGCTGCCGTGCCACACGAATGAGGCACGAGAACTGGGATACTGCCAGGTCACCCAGGCCTAGACAGGGGAAGTCGAGAAGCAGAGGTCGGGTTCGAACCACGGATCTACGGGTCAGTTATTTGCGCTCTAACCACTTGGTCCAACTCGTCCCCCAAAAACCCGATGGTCCGTGGTTCGAACCCGACCTCGGCGTCTCGACTGCTCCTGTCTGGGATTCAGCAAACTGACAGCATCTAAACCTCGTGTTCTTTCGGGTAGTGGGGCAGCTAGGCACCGAAAGGGTGTTACAGCCCGCGAAATACACCCACTTGTACATCAATCTGGTGTCAACGGGAGACTCAACTGAATCCAAGTTGAATATTTCATTCATGATGCTCTTTAAATGAATGCGCTGCGAAAAAGACCGCCTCATGTTACAGCTAGTACGATATTCGGTATCGCACAATAATTTCCCGAGAAGTTCTCAGCAACATTGTGAGTGGCGCTCTTTTGACTGTTATTGTTACTGTTATGACGCCAATACAACAGCCACTACTTCAGGACGAAATGTGAGCAGGCTGGACAGATTAGTGTCAAGAATTTGATAGTAATCGAACCTTTCGGGTCATTCTGAAAAGGCTTTGTCGTCATTAGAACACCGGTGGCAGTATGTGTTAAAAGCAGATTAGGTAGTTAGTTGACAGGGTTAAAGCAGAAAAAAGACGCCAGGGGCGCCTGCACGCATTTGAGTTGCGCATTCAGGGGATATTACGCCGCAAGTTGAGTTTTAATAACCAGACCAGCAGTATGCTTAAAATGAGACTTACTGTTACAGGGAGTTGTTCCAACAAGATCGACACCGTCAACGGAATTCGTCAAAGATTGAACCTGAGAGCGCGGTAGTTGACATTTGTAACACTGCTCGCGACGTCTGAAGTTATGGCTAGAACACTGCGAAAGAACCAGTAAAGTATGAGCAGTATGTGCAGTAGTCACAAATGTACCGAAGCATCAGTGCTGAACATTGTTACGCTGATGATGTAGAAATTCAATACTCACCCTCGAGCAGATCCAATCGCCTGTTGATACCTCGGACAGTGGACCTGGACGTCCCATCAAAGGGGGTACTGGTGGTCCGGAACCATACGGTAGTTCCTCAGCTTGACGTGGAGCACTATACGTCAAACGTAATTCATGCCGTCGCACACGCAGGATACCCTGAAAATGAAAACATTGTTCTCTGAGCTCATTCCAAACTCGTAAACCCAGTAAGGCCAAATAACCAAAGCACAGTGGATACCATGGAGGCAATACGCATACAGTCGTATAAAACGAAACCTGCATGTCTTCAGAAACGCCATTCATTGGTGCATTACTTTTTGGAATTCCATCCAGCGTTTCGCGTCATGAATGGTAGCAAAGTCCACAAAACCGAAGCCCTTCGTTACACCTGCGAATAGAGTTGACACAAGAATTGTTAAGTGAAATAATCAGGCGGACGCCTTCTTTCAAGCACAATTCAGAAATAGGAATGTGGAGGCACTGTTTGCGCTTTACCAAGTAATGGTGTAACTCGTTACGACAGAGCAGGCAGCAGTTTGTTCCGTCCAAGATCAGTTCTTTGCTTGGATTCGATCAGAGTAGCGGTAGCCCATGCCGCGATCTCGTATCGAAGAGATGGGGAACAGTTCCACGGATTATATAAATGAGACTGTAATGCCCCTACAGTTTCCCAAACAACAGATCACTAAATTCACATCTATAACCCTGAGAAGTGGTTGTCGGTTCGTTCACTAGGGGGTTGAAGGTGTTCTCGTCGTTTCTGATTTGGGATTAAAACCGGATTTGCGATAGTACTCCTGTGGCTTGAATATGGCGGTGTTGTGGGAGCATTCTGTCCATCTTTCAAAAAACTTCCCGCTAACTCCTGAAATCCTTCTTCAGTTATGCAAGTGCCTCAGATGCAACCGCATCCCATGCGAGGAGACTGACGCCCAAATACATGTAGAGGGCCTTTATTTGGACAGAGAACGTATATTCCAATATATTCGGTGTTGTTCATCCTCACACGGACGAAGACCAACAAACATCGCTACTTGTGAGTATGTCAGTGATATCCAACTCGAGCTGACGATTCCAAATATGGTCGACTCCAAGTTGTGGATTACACGAGATGACCAGCCGAACAAATTTGTGTACTCATCGCTGAAAACATGAACCAGGTGGAAAGAGGATCCCGTTCGGTTCGAAATTTATTAGATACGCCTCCAAGGAAAAAGAGGTAAGATAAGTTTAGTGGCAGTTTCAGGAGCCAGGTGTGTTCGCATCAATACATGGGTGACTTCACGCAGAAACGATATTGCCGCAGTCGATGTAGGGAGATTCACTTGTTTCGCCGGACGATGTAATTACGCAGATGCATCCCGAAATCGACGAACCAAACTCGATACGGTCTGAATGGACATTCAATGACGGATACATGAAGCGTTCTCAAGCCCAAAATACCAAGGTTGGGGGGAGGTGAGTTTCGAACCGCTAGCGGGCCTAACGATGGGTAAGCATCAAGACCGAACCCTAATAACTAATAATCGGCGCAACATGGTAAAATGAAAACATCTCTGACACCAGCACCGAAGCACTCACCTGTGTTCTTATCTCGGATTACCCTGACATCGACATAATTTATGCGATTATCATCCAGCGCATCCCGAATCTGAACGTTCTGTGAAAAACTTGTAGAAACTTACATCGCGACTGTCCATGGATGGAGGAATACCGCGTAACATTATCGTTGGTGAGGGCTCATCACACTTGACGGTGAATGGCGTTCGAAAAGAACCTACCCGATCATCGTCTCTCCTTTCTTTTGGGTTGCTGTAAGTCATTCTGATGACGGATTTTCGAATTTCAATTTCACCCTGGAAGCTTTGAGCATCATTCACAAGACCTACCCTGCAATCCTTCATGAATTGCCGGGCGTCGTTTATGCTGCAGAAGTCAACAAATGCATTCAAGCGGCCATTCTTCTTGTCCCTTACTAGGCGAACTTCAGTGTACCTAGCACGCTCGTTTTCAAGCGCTCGATGAACCTTTGAAAATAAGAGAGGAAATGTACCCACATCACGCTCCACAGTAGAATTGGACAAATTTCTCAACATGAGAGTGGGGCTCGGGGAATCCAAGCCACGCGGCGGTGGACTACGACTTCGTGAGTGTCTAGAAAATAATATCACACAGCGCGTTTCATTTACCTATCGTCGGCATGATAAACATGTTCATCTTGCCTGCGGCGCTGGCCGGCGTAATACGCATCGTAAGACGCCATCAGTACTAACGACGAGCGCGGAGGCAATCACGGACGATCGTTCAAAACAATTTCTCAAGGTCAGGTTAACCACATCAAGCGTGCCCGCCGTTGCATGAGTTGACACCACTGTGAAATAAAAAGTACATGCATTCCGCTGTAAGTTCCTCTTCTTCCTCTCTGACCATCGTGATGTAATCATTGAGTCCACAGCACTGAGATCTGAATTTCCTCTTCTTCCTCTCTGACCATCGTGATATAGAGTAATCATTGAGTCCACAGCACTGCGATCTGAATAATCAGATCATACGCTGTATCACGGATTCACGGATCGATGCACGGGAACGAGGATTTAGCCCTGATTTCCTTAAAGGGCGTCGCGTACTTTCGCCGTGTAGTCCGTTCTACACTCGTCGTCAGCCTTCTCCTTGCCTGACTACTACACGGTCGGGAGGATCCAACATCGGGGGGAAGAATTTATATACCTTGTTTTGCATCCGAAACTGATTCCACTCGACACTTGGGAGTTTCTGGATTTCTCAGGTTCCTTATAAGCTTCCGTAATTCACGG